GAGTGGAACACGACTGCATTCTCCACGCGATGATTTGTGGTCGCTGTGGTTGAAATCTATAAAGAAAATGTGGATGAGAGTGGAATGTATGCAAGCAAGTGTAAATGGGTAAGTAAAAACTGTGGATCGAACAGTTTTTTCTTTCGTTTTTGGTGATCAGCAGCGACAAGCACCGCAGCAATGATGGTGGGTATCTACGCTTTGAGCCTAAAAGCATGTTTTGAAATATTCCCTTGTGAATCAGTGCAGTAAAAAAGGAAATGAATCTCCGAATTGCTGGAATTTTATTTAGGCATTCGCATTTTCGTGCAGCACTTCCACTAAATCATTTCCGTTATTGTAGTAGCAGGTATGCACAAATCTATATGAATGTGAGCATTTCTTTATATATATATGTATAACAGTTAGGCAAAAGAATGCAAGAAAGCCGCTGCCTGGTAATGTGTAAATGCGGAAAAACTCTAAACCGTCCAGTTGGGAGATTTCACGGACGAGAAGTTTGGAATCCATCTACAATTGATGAAGATCTTTTCAAGATGGTTAATGGGGAACGAGACGCACGCTGGCTTTGGGAGAGGGAATCCTACTGCTAAACAGGCAATTTTAAATCTTGCGGCTTTAATCTGTAAATGTTGCGACGCTTAACCAGGAAAGCTGCCTGCGCGAGCGAAAGCGCAGAAACCTAAGAGCAAGCTATGGCAAGCAAGGAGACGATCAGAAAAGCATATAAATGATCTGGACTTTGAAGAACACCAGAGTGAATACCTACATATAAAAACGTGCGCAATAAACTTAAAAATTAAATTTATATCAAAAAGCTTTGCACTGATGCAGACACAAATTCCTGGGGAGCCGCATGTAAGGTCGCATTGTCTCCTCCTGGATACGTTGGAGAAAGGTTTTGGGGAGCAATATCCTCGAACGTTTCAAAGCCACGTCCCTTTTAAGATGACAATCAAGGTGGGAGTTTAGCTCTTAAAGAAGATCAACGCTCACTCTTATCTATAATATAGGAAAACAGGTGAAACATACGCATGGTGAAGTGAACTTTCATTTTTGGCGCAACTACTTGTCGGCGTTCCAATGCCACAAGAATGAAACTTTCTTACCAAAATGGCACTCCACGCACTATCATTGATATCATGTTCCTTTCTGAGTGCAATTGGTCCATCTTTGCCAACGCGATCGCTTGTGTAGGGTAGCAGCTAAGAGAAGATGGCTCCAGGCACAGCATATGCGGCCCCAGTTAGTAAAGAAGAAGCTAAACAAAGATGCAGTGGAAGATGGTAAGATGGCAATCAAAAATAAGCGGTAGTGAAAAAAGAGTCGGAGTAGAGGGGATTCTCTTAAATTTACAGCATACAAACAGTTGATGGTCCCAAGTTGAGGCAACTTACGGACTTCATTAGGACTATAACCACCTGAGGGCGATATACTTGACGGTAGTTTCGGCTGGGGAAAGGTCATGACGGCAGTCAGTTTAGTGGGTTAAAATCTCCTCCCACTGACTGACGGTTTTTGGGGTTAGCATTTTGATACTACCTCCTCGTAAAAAAGCAATTAGGCGAACTGTGTGTATGGTATGACAATGGGGGCTTTAGACACGCTTTTTTGCGCGAGTTATGGGTGTCAAAATATTATGTGAACTAAACAGAAAACAAGAAAGGTCGGTTTTTTTTTATATGTATGCAGTACATAGCTATAGATGTCATTTCGTAAATACTACGTGTGAAACTTTGTCAAGTGAGGAAAACATAATTTTATTGCTTAGATTATTTTATTGATTTTTCTTGGTTTCTATTGGCACCTATTTTACTATGGCTTCAACACAAGTTTTGAGAAAGCAATGGGAAGTGGATAAAACATTGGAATGCATGTATGTACATGCATATATGCATATGTATGTATGTATGTATGTATGTATATACCCTTGTGGTCAGCTGATTAAGTTAAGTGACATTTTGCCCAGTTTTGGCTATTTTTCTCACCATGTAAATACACATTTCAAACTTCGCACAAAAATTAAAAAAAATTTAACAAACTTTAACAATTACAACCAAAAATTTTAAATTTTTTTTTTACTTTAAAAGAATTTTAAATATGCAGTTTTATAGCCCATTAAAGTGCAAATTTTAAGACGCTAGAAAATCGCGTATATTTTTAATATTTTTTTTTTGCTGACAGTGTTGTGCATTTTCTTTCATAAAAACAATGCTCGACAGTTACTTTTATATGGAAGAAATATCTAAAAATTCTGAATAAGAAGTTTAAACATTTTCGGTGTCATTTTAAAGTTTGCTGAATTTTTGTGCGAAGTGTGAAATGTGGATTTACGTGGTGGGAAAAATAGCCAAAACTGGTCAAAATGTCACTTAACTTAATCAGCTGAACACAGGGATAAATGTACATACAATACATACATAGATATATTAGACTGGGTCGCGAGTTAAATTTTGAAAATGGAAATGGCAAAGCGAAACCGAAACACTTTTCGATTTTTTATTGAAATTGCATAACTTCCAATAAAATGCATTTACCATCCCAGCCGATTAAAAGTTGTGAACCGAATTGAGGAGAAATGTAACCGCAATGCATTTGGCTGTGTGTGCATTGTAGTAAAACCATGGCAACCCTCCTCCCCATATTATTCAGTGTACCTGCAGATGTTCGCACATAACACTTCGGATTAGATAAGAAAAGTGCACTCAGCTGCTAACCTTGCTTGAGGTCGCAGCGTAAAATGTTAATGTCACTAAAAAGCTACCAGCATGCAGGCTTGCCACAACTTACACAGGCCAACAGCGCGCGAAGACACTTGCCAATAACCGCGTTGGCTTCAATCAGCCAGCCGCACGCGCAGCCACCCCTATTTCGATTCGGTTCGATTCGATGCCGCAGTTGAAGGCGGATGGCGGGGCTTCTTGTGGCCGGCCACTGGAATGTTAGTTAGCACAATTACGAGGCAGCGCGCAAATCGGTATACGTAACGAGAAAATCCACTTAGTTCGAAAAAAAAAAATAACAAACAACCTCCACCTCCCCCAGTGGTTGGGGTGAAAAGCAAAGGTATATAAGCAGGTACATGCGGTCACTATGCTCGCATTTCCCTTCAGATACGCGCGAACATTAGAACCCCAAACCACAACAAGTCATTCAGAGTGCTCGAAGTGTGAAGTGAGTTGATTGAATAGTTGCAAAGGACGTAAGGACTTTCGTGCGGAAACTAAATAATACTAAACGTTTCAAAAATAATCCAAGAAGGATGGTCGTATCGGTGAAAGTTTTCAAGAAGGCCACCCCCAATGGCAAAGTAACCTTCTATCTGGGTCGCCGTGATTTTATTGATCACTTGGACTACTGCGATCCTGTCGACGGTGTGGTGGTTGTAGACCCAGATTATTTGAAGAATCGTCGTGTTTACGGACAGCTAGTCACCACCTACCGCTATGGCCGTGAAGAGGACGAAGTCATGGGTGTCAAATTCTCAAAGGAGCTGATCCTCTGTCGCGAGCAAATCGTGCCGATGACCAACAGCAACATGGAAATGACACCGATGCAGGAGAAACTCGTACGCAAGTTGGGCGGCAATGCGCATCCATTCACCTTCCACTTCCCACCCAGCTCACCCAGCTCGGTGACACTGCAACAGGAGGGCGACGATATGGGCAAGCCACTCGGCATTGAGTACACCATTCGCGCCTATGTGGCCGACTCAGAGGATGACCGCCAACATAAGCGCAGCATGGTCAGTTTGGTGATCAAGAAGCTGCAGTACGCACCTCCAACACGAGGCCAGCGCTTGCCAAGCTCATTGGTGAGCAAAGGCTTCACCTTCTCTAACGGCAAGATTAGCTTGGAGGTGACGCTCGATCGAGAGATCTACTATCATGGCGAGAAGGTGGCAGCCACCGTGCAGATCAGCAACAACTCCAAGAAGTCAGTGAAGAACATCAAATGCTTCATTGTACAACACACAGAGATCACTATGGTCAATGCACAGTTTAGCAAACATGTGGCTCAACTGGAGACAAAGGAGGGCTGCCCCATAACGCCAGGCGCAAATCTATCCAAGACATTCTACCTAATTCCATTGGCAGCGAACAATAAGGACCGTCATGGTAAGTAAACGCCACACGCGAGTATATGTATACATATGTATGTAAACACACACGCATACTTTGAACCGCATATTTACTCGCCAGGTATTGCACTCGATGGCCACTTGAAGGACGAAGACGTGAATCTAGCATCCTCGACGATGGTGCAGGAAGGCAAGTCCACCGGCGATGCTTGCGGCATCGTCATCTCGTACTCGGTGCGAATAAAGCTGAACTGCGGCACTTTGGGCGGCGAAATGCAGACAGATGTGCCATTCAAGCTTCTGCAACCGGCACCAGGTAAGTAAGATCGCGAGCTTAAGCTTCCAAGATTGTTTCGTCGTTGTAAACAAATAACCATTTCGCTCCTTCCCTCCCGCCGCTATAGGCTCTGTCGAGAAGAAACGCTCCAACGCAATGAAGAAAATGAAGTCGATTGAGCAGCATCGCAACGTGAAGGGCTACTATCAGGATGACGACGACAACATCGTATTTGAAGACTTCGCCAAGATGCGTATGAATAATGTTAATATGAATGATTAGGCGGGGCAGGCGCTTTGTGGCGCGCTTGTGGGCGCAGTGAGCTGCCCAAGAATTGGACGGCTATCCACGAACGTTTTGGCCCTGAGGGCGTATGTGATATTACTAATGGAAACTGACGGACGAAACTACGAATGTAATTTGTTGCTACACGGTCATTTCGCCATCGCATCTCAACATCGCAGCGGCACTAAACTTAATCCTTATTAATAAAAATTATTCTTGTATACTTTTTGTATTTGTGCGTGTATGCGAAGCAATACTCAACCCAATCAATTACACGTCCAAATACCACCTGTATGGTGTGGATTCTCTCTCGCACTACTGTTAATCACAATAAAATTGTTGATCTGTGAACGACGATGAAAGTGTTAGCGTGGAACTTGCGAAATTACTTACTTATACTTGTTGGAGAACACACAGTTTTCCAGTAGCGTAAACTACTAGACTGGTTAGATTTAATCGAATTGAATTTACAAAAATAGTGATGAAGTATTTTAGGCGTATTTGAAGCGTTTTCGAAACCGTCTGGAATGTATCCGTTGGAAGCATCCGTACGGTTTGCTGTAAGTTTCAAATATGACTGTTGAATATTTGTGGCGAGGTCAGCCGCCTAGCCAGCGAAATGAGTTACCTCACGCCGCCGAATATCCATATGTAAAAAAAAAAAATGTTCAATGGCAAGGTGAAGACATGGCATAAGGGTTGGTGCGCCTTGTGAGTGTGTGTCCTTATTCTCGTCCACAATGTACAAGGCGCATCCTTCTGTTCTGTGTTGTTTGTGCAATCGCATAAAAGCTAACCGAAAATTTGCTACCCTTGTTTTGTAGTCGAATCGTTTGACCAATCAGCGTTGAGTACCGGGCCAGCAACCCTTTGGGGCTACAAAATTTCGATTGGTAATTCAGGTATCATTTTTTGTGAATAAAGCAAGTTCGTATATTTCACAAAATTGACCTTCTGTTCTAACGGTCATCCATTTTATTTATATACATACACACATATATACCTATGTAAGTGCGTAAGTTTGTGTCCGTTTTTTTTTTTTTTGAGGATTTCTTTGTATGAGAAAGCCATAATTATTGGCCTTTGAAACTTGTTGAAATATACGTTACGTATGCAAATCAGTTTACTTCTTCTTCGCGTTCTTTTGTGATTGAAAACCAGTTGCGCCAAATTCGCAGATGTTTAAGAATTTGCAAAATATTCGCTATCTTACAGTTCCACAGTGCAGTGCAGTGATAGTTTATATTCAATTGGGAAAGGTGCTGGAAGTGGTGTCATCAGTGGTCTTTGAAATTCGAGAAATTCCATTGAAATTAAGAAATTGTGTTGAAAAGCGGCGTTTGGCTAAGAAAAGTGTTATTCGGAAGCTTTCGACCTCAGAGGTCACCAAATATAAGTAAAATGATTTTGCGGAGGTTCAAGATTGCGCTCGGGTTCACCAGGTATATGCTGCAATTCACTTCCCAGTGATTTTCAACCCCTGACAATTTGTATATCTCGTTTTGAAATCCACCAGTTTTATTATTCCGTTTCATCCATACTCCTACAACTATGTTGACGTCGTTAGAAGCCATTGTGGCCTCCCATAATCGGGCATCTCTCTTCTTTTTCGAAATTGTAACCCACATTGAATGATCTCAATCCTTCCAGGAATTTAATCTAACAGCGTTTCTAGCTTTCGAGTGCGCCCACAAAAACATTACGTCCTCATCAGTTATGACAGCGATAACAAATCTGGGACATATGTACATATATTGGATACAAAATTCAACTGGACACTGAGCACATCTGAACCAGTGTGAAAAGCTACAGCAGCACGTTTCTATACCTGTAGAGGTGCAATCGGACGTGCATAAATGGGGCATATCCCTTTGTACAGTGGATTGGTGTGGTGAGGCCTATACAGTTGTATGGAATGGTGGTCTTGTGATATCCTTACATGCTTAGCTAGGATATCAACCACCCATTTAATAGGCTAAAGTATAAGGTAGGTAGTAATGGACGCGGTAGGTAGTAATGGACTCATCAGAGGTCCAAAATTTCGAGTAAATTACGAAAACCCGAAATAATGGCAAAAAATTCGCATTTTACTCGAGTCAAACGGACCCCAGCTTCGGATTCGGTGGGTCAAAATACATGTCGGTAGATGGCTCTGGTTAAAAGCACACACCACTTTTTTTAGTGTTGGGAAGTATCGAGTTCTCTTGAGGATCGAGCTCTTTGGTATCGACACTTTTAAGGATCGGTTTTTTTTTTGAGAGTACTGAGTACTTTCTTTAAATGTGCACATGTTGGTAACATTTCAATGCTTAGTGTAGAAATCTCACAAGCTGACAACATTTTATTCAAATTAGTATTGTACTTGAAAACAATCTGAGTACCGGTAGATACATATAAATAAAACACAGTACTTTTAAGTGTCTATTCGGCACTTAATACTGAGCACATTGAATCGATCCTGAGAATAGAGTATTTTTGAGTACTGAGTACTTTCGAGCTCTTTTGTGAGTACTTTCGAGTCCTTTTTTTGAGTATTGAGTACTTTTGAGTACTCAGTATGGATACTTTTAAAAATCGAGTGCGGTCGATCCTTTTGAGAATCGAGTTCTGAGTACTTTTGGTATCGATACTGCCCAACACTACTTTTTTTTGTCTGCCGATGTAATTAACTGCTGTACATAAATGATACATATATTTTGCATAAACATTTACTAAACTTGAAAAAATGCTGGAACTCGACTTAGGTTGTTCTTTCAAATGGCCACAGTAAGCATGGAGAGAGCACTCGTTATAAAAATCATTTGCTTTAAGCATCTACAATATGTATGTATGTATACGAAGGTTTATGCTTATGTACACCGACATACATATGTATGTACACTAGGGTGGTCCAAAAAAAAGTAAAGTCGGAAATTTAATGCTCTCACCCCCTAGGATTGTTCTATACCGAAAAAAAGTATACCCCTGTTTTTTTATTTTAAAATCAAAATATATTTAGAGGTCGCTCAAAGCGCTTAAAGTTTCCCATGTATTTTGTATGGTGAAAAAAAGACTTTTCGTAGAAACGGCATAGAATCCATGAAAATCCAAATTTTTAAATCTGAAAACTCTGCTTCTCTTCAGAAGACTTCAGAGAATAATGCCCAATTGTTTATTTAAACATTTTTTAGTTTTAACTATTTTTTAAGGGTCTCCAAAATATCCCAAAAAAAAATCAAATATACAAAAGAAAAAAAGAAAAATAGTTAAAATTAAAAAATGTTTAAATAAACAATTGGGCCGTATTCTCTGAAGTCCTCTGAAGAGAAGCAGAGTTTTCAGAATGAAAAATTTCGATTTTCATGGATTCTATGCTATTTCTACGAAAAGTATTTTTTTCCCCATACAAAATACATGGGAAACTTTGAGCGCTTTGAGCGACCTCTAAATATATTTTGATTTTAAAATAAAAAAACAGGGGTATACTTTTTTTCGGTATAGAACCATCCTAGGGGGTGAGAGCATTAAATTTCCGATTTTACTTTTCTCCCATACATTTTTGGACCACCCTAATGTACACATTTGTAGGTGGTACATAAATATGTATAAGGCGCAAAAGATTAGATAATAGTATATTTTATTATTCACTCATATATACAGATGGAAAACAAGAAATTTGTGCACATTTCCAGATGTAAGCCGATTGCACTCACTCGCTACGGTTTCAGTTTTCGTTTTTGCGATTATGCTATGGTTTAACACTAATTTTGTATCGATCGTTGATGACTTGCTATTTTCCGCCATTTGATTTTCTTTTCCAAAGATTGAAATTTGTCATCAGTCATTTCACACTCCAGTGAATAAGTAGAGCCCCATAAAGAAATAGAAGAAATTGAGATGCAAGTGCAGGCGCCGAGCTGCCACGGTTAAATGGTCCTCTCTGATACTCAAAAAAAAACTTCCGCTTTAAGGGGCTGGATTATGTGTGACAGTGACGGTGACGGTGACGGTGACTATAAATGCGACTGTGACTGCATCAAGTGACCATTGTTAGCTGCCAAACGTCATTAACGACTAATGTTGGTCAAAGTCAGTTCAAATATTTGCGGGAGTTCGTTTGTGTTTTTGCCTGCGTTTTTTGATTATAATTAGCGAACAAAAAGTGTAAGCCTCTCAATATGTTGCTCATCGCTGTGATTTTCGCCATACAAATGCTCAGTATACTAACTAACCAAACGCCAGTTATCTACTGTGAAGCACAACAACAAGCTTTCGCAGCACGCGATCCGCGCATTCGTCATCGTGGCATCGCTTACGCCACAGATCAGCTCAGCGTCAACGATCAAATTGCAACGCTCAATGCAACAGCACTACTGCAGCAGCTGCCTTCGCGCGGATACGGTGGCGTTATTAGTGAGAAAGAGTATCGACCGCTCTACACTTTACCACAGCGTGCGACACCACCCGATGTGGCTAAATACCGCAATTATGGCAATTACTTCCAGCCCATTCCAATAAATGCACCCACACTGATGATGTTGCCACCACTCGCACCACCCTTTAAGAAGGAACGAAAACGCCATACGGAGTATTCCACACCAGTTAGTTTCGACCACCATGTTCTGCACTTGGATGGTCAGATCGCGCAGGAACCTCGCCCACGCCGCTACACAAATACCAGTTCCGACACAGCACGAACGCATCGACGGCCCCAAGCTATAAATATGCCAGCCACTCACGCTAAACCTCGAGGAGCACAAGCGTCAATATTAAACGCCACGGAAGGGCCTCGAGGATCTCTGGAAAACATGGAACCCGCGCAGACAATTAAAAAGACGCAGTCATATCAGTAAGCTTTTAACTTTGTAGGCTCTTAGAACCAGTGTTGCCGTTGAGAATTTTCATAAAGTCGCTAAAAAGGGGTCATTGACGAAAAAAGGGCTCACCATATTATTTTTGCTTTTCTTCACTAGTAAAAGAATAAATCTGTTGGGACAAGTTTTGCATAAAAAAGGGTCGCAGACCCTGTATATTCCCTTTAAAAGTTTTCAGTGATGCATTTTTTAGTACTTACAGGAGGAGATATTTTTTAGTAGCATGGTTCTGTTAACATTTCTTAAAAAAAAATCTCTGAAAAGGGGCAAAAGTCGCACATAATTTAGGAAAAGGGTCAAAAAATCAAAATTTTCAAAAAGTCGGGTCAAAGGGTATTAATGTTTAAAAAGGGTGGAATTGCCCCTTTAGTCGCACAACGGCAACACTGATTAGAACACTACCAATATATGTACATATTTTGAATTCATAGATTGCTACCTCTTACAGGCTAACCTAATATTCACGCACGCCGCCAATTTAGTGTAAAAAATTTCTCATGCACGTACAACTTGTATGGGACGAACCGAAATTGAACGGCGTGCGTATGAAGCTAACTCAATTTCCAATTTTTGTTCTGCGTGACATTTTGATTTGACGTTTCGCTCAATGAAATCAAATGCAAACGCAAGCAAGCCAATTTCGGGCGACGCAAAAAAACAAATTCGATTGCGTGCGTACCAAAACGCATGCCGCGGATATTAGGTTAGCCTGTTAAAAAGTTCAAATATATACCCATTTCTCCTTTTTGGCCTCATTCTTCATCGAAGCAAGGACAAATACATGAAAAGAGAAGGGCATGAGTAGGATACTTACACGGTATATTTGGTGACATGCGTTTCACCCATTTCCGAAGGAAGTGCAAAAGGGTTCTATGGATTTTTTTAAAACCTAAGAGGAAAACCTTAACTGGGAAAAATAATCAGGGCTCTTCGGTAAGATAACGATCTTCCGAATTGTCCACACTTTTGGTATATAAGTACATATATGTATGTAAATATTATGTACTGTTAGATCAAACCATAATATGTCCAATGCTTTTTGGAGCTCTGCTGGAAAAACGCCATCTAGCTTAGGGCATTTTGAGAGTTTAAAGGAACAGGCAAATAGGGTCTTAGAAACGGCACAAAGGTTCCATTAACATTTCGACCTTGCTTTTGAGCTTCTGGATGTAATTCGGCAAGAATGGATGCTTAAATAAATCCTCCTCCATCGACTTTCATCCTGTTCCATTCTAGGAACCAATAAAAAGTTCCGAAATTGGTGAATAAAAAACCACCTTTCCACATTCACTACGCAAAGGCCACCTGCACTGTGCTGGGAATGTATACTAGAAGGTAATACTTTAGAATCCATGCCATGCCCATTTTAAAGTAGTGCCGCCTAGAAGCGAAAGGCGAAGCACTTAGCAACTTCTTTTTTCGATTCCACATTCATTTTTGAGGTAATCGTGGTTTTTTTCTGGGAACTTTGCAAGAAACGAGCGACCCAAAGATGATAGTGGTTTTTAGTTAAATATTATAAACTAAGGCAGATATATTTCACTAACTTTGTGAATGCATTTCTTCTAAAATACATTCATACATCCATTTGCACAGTGATATATTTATGCGCTTTAACGGGCCGCACCATCTGGACTATGGCCATATCGAGTTGCAACCACGAAAACACTTTGAGAAACGTTTTGAGTCCTTGAACAAAAATAATGGCAATCGTCATCGTGGCGAGGTGAGTATGAGTGGTGCTTAACTCTTCGCCAGAGATACTCATTAACAAGCGTGACTTTGGTAAATTCAAATTGCGTTCGCGCATGCGCACAGCCGTATGTATATCTACATATGCATATCCACATAGAAATTTAAATGAAACTTCACTCATTTGTGTTTTTGTTACTTAGATTGTATGGGTCGATGCAACGGGCGGTTACGGTGAACACCATTGGGATTTGGCGCAAGGAAAACTTCGTTAAGGCGCCACCGGTACGTGACTCAACGCAATTCTTAAGTATTTACACTTTTAACTGCGTTTGAAGGCGAATCCCTCTCTAGCTAAGGTACGAATTGATAAATATGCAAATATTTATATTATCATACAAATGTGTGTAAGTGTATTTGAAAGTTTGAATGTGGAAATAGAAAATGCAATGCAATGCAAAAACAAAAATTTTAAATCAGAATCAGTTGTCCGTCTGCACACTTTGAGAATTGCACGGCTCATTTGCATTCGTATCTCTGATTGCTGGCGCCTGCGCAGACTTTCAAATTGGGACTGGGAATAGAAATGCATCACATTCAGCAATGGAAGGCGAGGGGGTATGCGGCGATGGTAGTGAAGCTGTAAATCATTTCTGCGGCTGCTGCCACTGCCGTGTTTTTCTATTTTATTTCTCACGCCAAAAGTGGTCAGTCAAGTTATGCGATGATAAAAGGTCAATTCGGGTGGATCGTGTCGTGGTCGTGGCGCGTAGCGAGCCAAATACGCGGTGCATCTACAGTACAGTTAGAATCGGTAAAACCAGTTCTTAATGATTGAAGAACTTCGAAGAAGCTACGTTTGGTATGAAGGCGACGATCGTCAAACTGCGATCGTCCATATGCAAATGAGCCTAAATATTTAGTTGAGTGAAGGCTAGAAAAGTCGTGGCCGTGCAGGCGGCTGGCTGTCCATAATAAGGGTTGCTTGACGACGCTGCTTTTGCCGTTCAACTACGAATACGTAGTACCTGTTCGCAAGATTTTGTAACTTTTGTAAAGGTGTTGTAAATGTCTTGTAGTTCAAGGGTTGTGCTCTGTCCGATAAATATTTGCATAAAACAACAAAAACAACCAGGGGAGTATGTCAAATATACTTTAGCTGCTGTCATATGCGTATGACATTTTCTCGTCCAGCTGTGTGTAAGTGTTCAGCATTAATCCTAGCGCAGGACATTGTCCGCCTAAAATATTTAAATTTTCTATTCGAATGCCAATTTGGTATCTAAACGTCCATCGAAATCAATAAAATTTTTGGATGGAATATGACAAAAGGTGTCATATGCGCCAACTGTTTCGGCTTCATTCTCCTCTACCCTCCACCCGGCGCTCACTGGCGCTGGCTTATTGCCTAGCCGTTGCGGCGAGCGAGCTAGCCTCTGGCCAGAACCGGTTTGTAGGCAAATGAGTAAGTAGCTTTTGCTGCCTGAAGTGACCCTCGATAGACGGTAAGACAGTGCAATGGAAACCCTTTTTCCCATCAACTCATTCTTCGTCTCTTTGGCGTGACTGCGATTCGATCGTGTGAGATCTTATACAACAAGACTTAGGAGCGCGAGTGTGTGTGTATGTTAGTCTCATCGCTCGAAAGGACATCGCTGGAGTTTATGTACATTTCCCTTGATTGTTGGCAGTTGTTTATGTAGTTGATTGGACTCACTGCGATCGGACTTAATTTATGCGTTGAGAAATTTTGTTTGATTGTCTTGTCTGTGTTTCGTGTCTAGTCCGAACCGGTTTGACCGGTCCAGCTTGAGCTGGTGACCATCTTTTAGGGAGTATTGTAGATCTTATGTGGCTGAGAAGAGCTCGTTGCTTCTGGTGATCGGGTGGTGAACGGTTCATTTGACATACGAGTATCTACATAAATACATACATATGTACGCGTGTATATGCGGTAGTTTTGTTTGCATCGACTTGCCGCGTACGAACCTATGAATACGTATTTTGTCATTCATACGTGGTGTGAGAAATTCTATTCTGACCCCTTCGTATTTTTAAATGCACTCACCTTTACTTTGTATTTCTTTGATTACAATAGCTGGCGTAATGGGCTCGCGTAATGGACTTAATGGCCAAGTAGCAATTAAGTGCCGTTTTGGTGGTGGATAAAAATGATGTGAACTCACATGCTCCCACCACGGCATTCGTGGGCCTCATCTAAAAAAAAAGGTGGTCTATTGTTTTTACAGCTTTTGCAAGGTTCATTATAGGCAATACTCAGACTTCAAGAGTGGGTGGCAACCTGATAATGCCCAGCGGTTGGAGATATTCCTTAAAGGTTGTGATTTCTTTTAGCTATAGGGAAGCATGGTACCATGCGCCACCTATAACCCGATTTCTGAAGATTGTGGATACAGATTTCACTGTGAATAGTTCCGATTGAGATTCACCGACTATGATCCAGATTAAATGATTAGCAGTCTCATTTCCAAGAATATTGCGATGACTACTAACAGAATTCTAAAAAGTTCTGCCTTCCTTACTGATCGCAAATACGTATGCCTGAAAAGCATTCGCAAAGTCCAACAATGGATTAGTCTTCTTACTCTTAGGAAAGCTGTCAACTCTGCGTTCCATTTCGGAGCCATCGGTGTACAAATGATGTATTCAGGCGAAGATAGCTAATTACCTAATCCAGTCGTATCTCCATAGGAGAAGGACCCCGAAGGGTCTGCCTATTTCTATTCAATTCTATTTCTGCTCCTGTATAGACGCTGTCCCTTAGCATATTTCTCTGATTCCTACAGCAGACACTGCAGCTGTACATCTCGTCTAACATTGAACGCATCCGAAGAGCAAGTTTCCTTTGACCTGTCTGAGGCTGTCCCCCAGACCAGGGAACCGTAATATAAGATCGGACGATCCACTGTTGCAAACGCATAAAGAAAACAAACCACATATACATACATGTGTATTTGTATTTGTAATATTTATTTCGATTAAAAACTCTACATATATGCACTTACATAAGTCTAATCTACACTTCGTACAATTGTATAATGTTGGAGCAAAAGGATGATTTAAATACATAACCTAAGATGAAAAATGAAAATATGCCTTACTACCGAACCGAACCCAACCTGTAGCGGTCGCACGTATGTATGTAGGTATGTATATGGTTCGCTCTTTCTGATATATATTCGGTAGACTAGTGGACTACCAAAATCGACTTCGACTTCATTTTCTGCTTTTTTTTCAACTGCGCGAAACAGTTTTGGTCTCTCAGTGCTTTCCCACCTACTGTTGTTGGTACTGCTGTGGCTGATGGTACTGCTGGGGCTGGTGATATTGCTGCGAAGGTTTCAGCGCATAGTCTTGGGATTTGTGAGTTTGGCGCACCAACTGCTGAGGCGCTGGCGTTGGTATTTTCACAACAATGTCGGTGGGTTCTCGAATTACTTCGGCTTTGAAGCCCTCCTTCGGATCGGCGGTGTACTTTACGGTGCGTATGAAACCGTCAGAGTCAACCACCGAGTAGCTGCCTTTGATCACCGAACCGTCGCGGACCTCCTTGCGATTCTGATAGTTGGTGAACTCGTCGTCCTTAACATCAAAGCCAAATTGGTAGGAAGAGTTTTGCTACAAATACATAAATTAAAAAGAAGTTATTGAAATTCAGAAATTCATCATAAATTGTAAATATTTAAGTTGCAATCAAATCGCTAACAGGTTACATATTAATTTCTGGTAAATAGATCAAATGCGTATCGGCCAGTGTCGGCCCCTTCGTACTGCGCGCATGCGCATGGGTGTAATTAATTTAAAATTTTGTATTTGCAATTGTTGTGCGTGCGTGTATTGCCTTAAAGTGCGCCAGACCAGACTGTAGTTGGGAAATCTGCGCGAACCCACCCAGCATTTGGTTGCGTCATTAGACGCAATGCGTGTGCGCTTGCTTCCCCAGCTATTACATTTGCGCGCATATGTGGGCTAAATAGCTAGCGGCTGCCTGCATTCACCGAAACCGCCTCAACGGGCTGAGCGAGCGGCTCTGGCCCACCGGCAGGCCGAGTGGCTGGCATGCAGGCACCCCCCTCTTCGCCTGACCGGCCGCTTATTTGCCTGGGTGATGTGGATACTCGTTCGTACGCACAGTGGGTACAGGTCGATGCCGCATGGTTGTATGTATGTATGCGTGTGTGTGTTGTAGACAGTTGTGTGGCCGTCGGCGCGTATTATTTCAACAGAGCTGCACTGGTGTTTTTTTTTGTACATTTGTATGCACGTTCACAAGTGAAAGTGTTGTAACGGTAACAAAATCGAGATGCGGTGCGCATAGAGTTAGCAGGCAGGCAGGTATGTATATACATACATAGGTATAAAACTTTAAGAAACACAGTTCGTGCTACTTATGCAAGTAGATTAAATGTTACTAGCCGAACACAGACGCTGCCATGGCTGCATACCAAACATCTGCTCAGAGGCGCATGCGCATGCGGTCCGCGATGCCGGTGGCATTTTATTTCTACAATTATAGTCAAATCGTATAAATACAAAACATTTTTATGAATGCAGCAGCAAGTAAGGTATCTATCTGTAAGCGCTTGGAATGTGGATGAGCTCGATTGTGTCGATCTCCTTGAGTTGGCATTGAGCATATAATTGCGATAATATACATACATACATGCAAAAAAATGGCCATAAATCTCGACTCAAGTTGCAAACTCAAGATGCTACGAGTACAACGACGCACACCCACAATCTTTGATTGCAGCAAAGAATGCAACGGCAAAAAAGCGCCGGCCTTAGGCCGCTCGCAGTGAATTACGTACAACAAAAGCTATAAATAAACTATGAAAGGTCAAATTGCTGCAGAATGGAACATAGCACAGCACTGAATGCACCGCCAACGCATACACACACACACACACACACACACACACATAAACACAGCCACAAACAACAGACAACCACGTAAAGATCTGCCCCACTGCATTAACTGATAAAATGTTTGATTGGACCAAAAGTGGGTTAAGGTAGTTTCTATGCCGTCCTCGTCTTCCACACCGCCACAACGCCACACCGCCACCCTACTCCCTGCAGCACACAGAGCGAATGCCCACTGCGGTCGACAACAGTGGCTGCATACTTAACTGTCTTGGGTTGGGTAGGAGAATGGCTTGAATTGGCAACAAAATAAAAATTAAAAACCAAACACCAAATCCAATCGACAGACAAAAACCTGGTCGACTTACTACAACTATACATGGGAATTGAAAGGAACGGAACTTTAAAAAGAGCTGAACGACGAAGTAATTTAGAATGTAAACTGTCAGAGTGTGCGAAATGATGTTGTCAAGCGAGTTTCGTTTTTCAGCCCAAAAATAATTGCATCGAAAGCAAAGGCACACACAAAGCTCCTACGAATAGTTATGTACATATGTATCTGTACGGTGACCAGATTTCTGTGGCCAAAAATCAAGAAATTTCTAAAGCATCGAATCCGAATATACAATTTTGCTTTTAGAATAAAAACACATAACATCTTTTAATACAGCTTTATTTAAAAAAAAAAAGCAAAGAGAAAAAACTTGAAAAATTATCACAAAAATGACATTTTAGCAAGTTTTGGCGATTTTTCTTTGTTTGAAATATGTTTATTATTTTTTATGAAAATATAATTTACTATCTAAAAACACATGTAAGTCGAAGTTTTAAAATTTGTAGAACATTTATAAAAATTCGACAAATTTTTACAAATGTTGATAAAAATTTTGAACATTTTAATCCGATTTTCTAGAATTGTATTGAGTAAGCAGTTTTGTAGCATTTAAAATTTTAGTATAATAAAGTGCAAGTTTGAAGTAGCTTAGACTTACCGTTAATTTTTGGAAATTTTTTGTTCGCGCATTTTCTTCCATACAAAGTCTGTTCAGCATTTTTTTTGTGGACAAAATGAGCAACACCTTCCACCAAAAAAAATTTACCAAAAATCAACGGTATCTACTCATAATGTTTCTAAGAAATCTTATTAAAAAGCTTATAATTTTGATGAAATTTTGTCGAATTTTTGTACAAAGTCGAAAATTTACATGGTCTTTGTTAGACAACAAGCTACACTTTCATAAAAAAAAGTACTAAGCATTAAATAATCGAAAGGGGGATAGCCATATCCATGATTTTTTTGAGGGAAATAGTATCTATTATTTTTTATAATTTCACTAAATTCAAGTTAGAATCGTTTCATTCAAAAAAAAAAACATAACGAATAATTATAAAAACCTTAAAAAAATCGAGCCAAGAATGATAGACTGCAATATAGCGAGTGTACCAGTTTGACAGATCAAAACAAAACCAAAGATCATAGAAAATAAGGCAATGTTTATGGCTCCCTTATATTCTATGTCCTTTGTGATAACGAAAGTGCTACGACGTTTGTACGAAAAATTGTTTTTGGGCCAGAGTACAAGGAGACTCTTATTAAATTAATAAAAAAAACACTGAAAATCGGGACTTAATCGGTATAAATATAAAAAATATTCAGCTGGACAATTTTCTCAAATCGGTACTTTCGGGCCAAAATCGATACGAATGGTCACCGTATGTATCTGTCATGTCATGTATGTGTGTATTTATGTACTTTACAGTGGCGAGTAAACGTAGGCTAATTGTAATTTAGTTATGTAGGCGACGTTGTCGCGATAATAATCCGCATCAGTCAAGGCACGAAATGTCTCTAAGCCTAATTGCTAAGACGAAAATGGAAATGCTGCTCTAAGTTTTTAAGCACAATATCGAAACGTTTTTAGAATCAAAGTCGAAATGTATCCGATTTATATCTATATACCTATGTTCATCTTAATCATGTCAATTCCGTATTCTATAAATGATTAGCTCTGTCTAAAAACCTCCTCTAAGGTAGCGATGTTGGGTTCTGCACTGAGAAAAAAGCTTAGTTACGTCAACTAAATATGTTTCTCTCACATCATGATTCGGTTACAGTTACCAAATCATGTGTTGAGAAAAATATATTTAGCTGACTTTATCCTGAGTGTGCAGCTATAGTTTCGTCATCGGTAGGTTCCAAATTAGCACCAATAGTCTATTGTTCAATTGCAGAATGAAACGCTTGCCACAATGGCTCATACATATGTACACACATTGACCTTGACTTTGGACCAGATTCAGATGGTTGAGACCGAGTCGTGGCTGAGAACGCTATGTGAAAAAAATTGCAAAACGTTCCACAGGCATTGGATGAATTGTCCAGGGCTGAGGCAAGCCACACGATTTGTCTATCCTTCAGAGGTGACCTCAAAACTATCACTGGGTACTACATGGGACACTGCCCCATTCTATGTATATCGTCGCTACCATGTCAAACTATTGAATTTGCAAAAATGCGTTTTTCCATACCTTGCGCATGCGTTTAGAATGTTGCGTAAGTTGGGAAATTGTCGAATTTGTAGTCCTTTAACAAACTTTTTCCTAGTGACAACAATATTTTTTAAAAAAGTTTTTTCGCTCTCCTGAAAATTATCCATTTTAAAATTCTATAGTTTGACATGGTAGCGCCGATATCACCTCGGTAAAACTAATCTTTCAGAAATAAACGTAGCTTTTGCGAGCTGGGCAAAGAAACGCCAGAACACATTCTCTGTGAATGCCCTCCAACGCGCAGATTAGCTCATTTAGATGGCGCTACACTTAATCTATCTGAGACTTGGAAAACAAAACCCTCGGTGAAGCTAAGCTACATTAAAAGCCACACACAATAGATCGCGTTATTAGTAATAATAATAATAACAAAACAGGTATCCAAGCAGAGAATTACAAAAATTGTCTTCTTCTTGATTTGGCGAATTCAATAAAGCACGCCAGTCGTTCCTCTTCTGTGCCAACTGACAGCAATTGAAAATGCCAAGCGTTGCCAAGCGGGTTAAGCATTCAAAATAACTAAATAGTTATTCAAAATAACTTAAATAGTTACCATTTGTTACTTTCTTAGATATTCTAAAGACCTTTTCGTGACCCTCTTATATGAGCAAATCTCACGAGTGGTCTTTTTTAGTGTCACTTCCTTCTTGCGCCAGAAAAAAACGCTGAAGCATTCTTTTTGCATACATATATGTATGTATTTCAATCAATAGAGTTCCAGAAACTAGTACAATAAAAAATAAATCAAGTATCTAAACAATTTTTTCCTTAAAACGTTTATATTTAGGCGGAAATGTATCGAAATTACTAGTTCTTTTTTTATTGTCACTCGAAAAAATCATAATTGCTTTTTTTAATAACTTTGGGAAGTTTCCAAATAGAATGTTCATATTAGAGGCAATGGACGTTGACATCAAATACAACATATCTGTGAAGTTTCAAGAGTGTGCCACGAAATTAATAAATAAAATGGCAGCATGCAGAATATCTGCCGCAGCTAATTTTTAATAATAATAATAATGACGGCCGTTGTGGTATAGTGGTTAGCAGTGCGCGCTACCACTCCGCAATGCCTGGGTTCAACCCCTGGTAAAAGCAACATCGAAAAAAAATAAAAGGTTTTTTCTTAACAGCGGTCGTCCCTCGGCAGGCAATGGCAAACCCCCGAAATGTAATTTTTACCTTCTTTAGTAAGTACATATATCGTTTTTAAGTTTTCATTCAAATACAATTTCGCAATGGAATCTTGTTGTTTAGGCAAAACGGAAGATAAAGCATTGTCTAAGGTAAGTGTGCCGCCATTTTCGACCAAAAAACACGTTTAAGCGAAATATCGAATGGGTAATTAAAAACTGTGCGCTAACTCTATTAGCTATCACTTTTTCATAGCTAACTATTTACATATGTACATACATACATACTTATATACACACAACATGCGCCATTGACTTTTTATTACCATTTTCTTGTTGATTCAGATCAAAAACCATCGCCTAACCTCATTGGCATCTTTACTAAACGCTTCCCGAAAGCTACATATATGAAATACGAAACTTTCGCTGTGTATCCGATATACCGATAACATTTATTTAACTGTGGGATCCAAACGTTTTACCTACATGCGATTATAGTTTCATACACACATACATACATATGTATATAAATAAACATGGATCCCAATAAACACTGGAACAAAAATTTTTCAAGCGTTTTAGAAAATCGTATTTCTCAATTTGATTTTCAGCATTGTTTATCATTTGAAACTAAACATTTTCTCAAATCTTTCTCAAACATTGTTTATCAATTTAAGAACGCTTTGAGAAACATTTGAGAAAAAATCTGTTAGCATTCCGTTCCGTTCCATCTGTGTCAACATGGCACAGATGTCGAAGTCCATCGGTAGTCTGCTACATCAGTCGCAAAATGGCTCTTCGACCACGCGGTCGCTGTTATTCGCAATTTGTCTAATTTCAAAACAAACTATGCAACTAATTTTTTACATCAACCGTATTTTTCTTTGTTAAACTAATTGAATAAATAACTGATTAAATAAACTGTTAAACTGCCTGAATAAAAATTCCTTGCCTATAAAAACTGTACAAGTATAATTGGCAACACTATACAAATATTTCAATGAGAGTAACTGAATTTCATTTCGTTCCGTTCCACTCACGTTTGAGAAAAAGTTGAGAACTCAACATTTCTCAATTTGAAAATAAAGGAAAATTTCATATTAAAAACGTGCCTTTTAGTTTGAGAACGCTGTGAACGGTTATTTTAGGTGCATTTGAGAATTAGCATTTGAGATTTGAGAAAAGGACTGATTCTCAAATTGAGATTTAACAAAAATGTTTATTGGGATGGGTACATATGTTTGCATGGCAATGAAAGCAAAAGTGCCTGTACATACATACACACATACGTACATATATATGGATGTATGTATGCTTTGTGTTTGCAACAATTACCTATTTCCGCATTGGAAGCGTAATACGTACATACAGTGTGTTGCACAAAACAATAAAAGCCACAAAACCAATTTGGTTGCAACTAGAGAAGGTGTTGCAAACGATTACAATTTCGCTGTATGTGTGTTAGCATTTTCCTTATTCAGCCATGCAGCCATGCAGCCATGCGTCTATGGTCTATGCAAGTTAAACGACTCGTATCAGCTCAACAACTAGTTGCATGCCAACTTGAAAACTGGCAAAATGAGTTAATGACCTTAAGCGTTACGGTCTTAGCAGATGAACACGGCGGCCCCAATAGGCAGCACGGACTGCAGCCGCCAGTCAGTAATCATAGGCACACACACACACATTCATATGGACATGCGTGGCATCTTCATCTAATTGCCGCAATTGATGCCAGCGAAGCATCTGTGCGTGTCCACTGCAAATAGCGGAGCAGCGGCGCAGCAGAGAGTGATGTCTGATTTTAGGTGCCTATGTAACAGCCGCCACGGCAAAATAATTGTGAAGTGATTAATTTTTACAGTTGAGGAGTCAGTCGGCAACTTGTTTGGGCAATTGTGCACGACGGCCAATGGCCAATGCCGTACACATGCTAACATACCGAGAAGTAACTTATTCAACCGCAGCAAGGCGCGCATGCGTACACTCAGATGCTATTTACATTCAAATGGTTATTATGTCCAGTATCCGTCATTGTTGCATCACTCGGTTGATTTGGTGTACCGGTTATTCCAAGTTTGATGCTGGCAGGATTGGCTCGAATCATTTCGTAGATATACATATATATATTTAGGAAATATGGATAGGTCCGTATGTCATTCGTAGACTAAATAGGATTCGACCCGCAACAAGTGAAATAGTACTATAATCTGCACTTAACGACCTAGCAAATGGAAGGCTAATCCCTCCGAAGCTGAACTAGTTCTGTTCATGATAAGAGCTATGCACAACATTCGAACTCCATCACTCAAATTTCGCAAATCTTAAATTTACTAAATAGGCGAAGAACGATTGAAACGGAAGTGACAGGAATTTTATTAAAAGTTGGCAACATTCGATCTCCACATACGGTTTTGAAATTGAACAGCATCGGCTATCTTATCACATTAACGGCTTTAGGAGAGGCCTATAGAACCGAGATTAGTTAGTTCATCGTATTCCAGGCTGAAATATATGAAACTGGCATGGCAGTGAACTTAGTATGCATGACGGTTCTTGAGTTGGTAACGACTGAAGCTCGCAAGAAAAGCAAAAACTGAAGAAGTTTGCTACGCTTTCTACTACGGTTTTCTAAAGTTTATTGTGAAAAAAAGGAACAGAAATATACGCTCGTTCCATTATTTCGTGAGGAAAGAGTGCAACCACAGGCTGCGAAATACCAGATGTCGAAATTCCTGAGACACACAAACGAAATAATAGAAATGGATTTTTTTTACCATTTCCTTCGCATGTGGAAAACTATCGATGGCACTTTCGATGGTTTGCCTTTTATTGCCACTATCGATATGGTCGTTTTTAGGTTGTTACTATCGATAGTCTTTGTCTTTGTGACTATCGAAACTTTCTTCTCTGTTTCCGCTACTCTATCATTCTCATTTTAAAATTTTTGGCGCAAAGGCCTTTCCTTTAAGATACATAAGTATGCATGTAAATGAAGCAAAACAACTTCATATAAAAGTGCAACCTAACCTTAATAACCCATTGCAAAAGAAACCATACTATCGATGGTGCATAATCTAAAATATCGAAACTAACGAGCGGCATCACTATCGATCGTTTTCCAGCTCTACTGGATACTACGTTTTATCGATATGCGTTCAGAAATGTAGAATATTCCTAAATATATCTTCCGCAGAATATAGTGAATCTCTACCGGATCGTGGAATACTGTGGCACAACGGGAAATTAAAAAGCGGACGAATGTGCTCAATAGGGATCTAAGATGCGAATAGGGAAATGGAGTCAAAGTGTATAGGGACAGGTCTGGTGGCAGGGTATGTGGAGAGTGTAATTACGGGTGATTTTAGAGGCGATTAATTGAATCAAAAGTTGGCTTCCGGCCAATTTTGTTGAACGCGATTAGTTAAGAGGCCATTTAACACATGGCAATGGTTGCTTTCAACCATAAATTGCCTGTAAAATCGCCTATGTAAACACCGAATAAGCACGTAAGAGCTTCTCAAGTTGAAACAACAACAACAACAAAAAATGTAAGCGAGGGCAGCACGATCAATTCCAATTGTACAGAAATTTTTCGATATTGCCATTGTTGTTGCTGAAAGGCACATGAATTTGGAATAATTTGGCTTTTCTTAACACGCAAATGAACGTCAGCATTTTTTTTTTGTTTTTGTGTGCATTAAACTACTTATTCACACGCTTAGCTTGGATGTTTAGCTAAACTTTTTCACTTTTTTGTTGGCATTTTTAGTTTCCCCCCACAATAACTTACATCATCGTACTCCTCCTCCTCGGCTTGTTGTTGTGGTCGTTGTTGCTGCAATTTAGCCTTCTGTGGCTGGTACTGGGGCTGTACGTGGCGCGGTGGGCTAACAGCCTGTGGCTGAGGACGGTATTGTTGTGGTTGGTATTGGACCTGAAATTACATCAAATAAAATGAACAATTAATTATCTACAAAAAAAAGTCGTACGGGAACAGTTTCTGGATTTTTTTTTTGTATAACAGATCTACAAGTAAATATTTTAGATTTTTCGCTTTAGCTTCTAGGAGGACTCACCTGTTGCACTTGCGGCTGATGTTGGGCGTAATCGCGTACCGCTGGTGCCACATAACTACCGGTCTGGTGTTGCTGTTGTTGTTGTGCATTGATCTGTTCGCGTACGGTATCCTTGAGGCGGTATTGCCCGCCCGGCGACACATATTGCTGCGACTGCTCAGAATTTTGTTCATAAATAGGCGTAGCATCCGCGCCTTGTTGTTGTTGGTGTTGTTGCTGCTGCTGCTGTAACTGTTGGTAGTATTGACGCAAGTACGCGGGATCCACGTTCTGTTGCTGGGCACTCACTATCACTACTAATACACTGCTTATGAGGCCCAATAGGGCTGTCAGACGCATTGCGAAATTCATTTCACTCTATCGGATTATTTTCTATGTAGCTGATGAGTGTTTATTTCGATTTATTTCACAATATAATTTCACGTGAAACGCACCAAAAACTTCACTCACTGTGCACAGTTCACCCACAACGACGCCCCCAACGACAATATTTAGTCACACAGAAATCCAACAACTTAACAATTCTTTTCACTTCAGCCACGCTGCTGCGACTATCTGCGCCTATCCGTTTATCGTTCGTCCTAGTAGGTACCAAAAAAGTATCTGCAAGCCGCCTAGTGTCCAAAGCTTCTTTTATATGTGCGCCCAACCAACAAGCAGCCGCAACAACTTCGAGTCTTTTTTTTCTAAATATGCTGCTCGTTTTTTATTGCGGTTATTGCTGCTGCGCGCTGTCGACGAATATTTTGTTTTTTTGTTTTTTTTTTCTCTCTTAGCCAAGAAGTCTTCGTGCCAGCGGCGCGAGCAACCAAACGGCACACGAAGAGGCCGCGTTAGCTTCGATTAGCTGCTTTCGGTCGGTGGGGTTTTCACTTTCGTTGGGAGAAGCCGCCAACGCAAACCCCAACGTAAGTGTGACGTCATTGGTGCAAGTTAGCTTTGGCTCTCGTTCATTTGTGTGGCTCTTTGAGCTTAGCTTTTCCACAAAGACGCACTCACGCTCCATTTTATGTAGGCTATACCATTTTTTGATTTCAAAACAAAAAAATAGGGGTATATTTCTTTCGATATAGAACAATGCTAGGGGGTGCCGGCATTAAAATTCCAACTTAATTTTTTTGGACCACTCTAATGTACATACATATGTACATAAGTTAAAAATATAACAACTTGAAAATAAATCAAAAAGGTAAAGAAGAGG